ACCCCGCGTGATCACGAGATCCCGAGAGAAAGAGACAATGCTCCCTGCGCGCACGTGAGTTCGGCGGATTAACGGGAATTTAAATTACACGACGCACGGCGTGTTTGATTAATAAAGCTTCGGTTGGCATGCCGGCAAAAAAAAACAATGCACACACGCCTCTTGCCGTTCTGCTCGACGGCCTGCCCCCTCGATTGGGATTAACGTCGCTTTAACGCTTAATTAACGGAGTGCTCCTCGGCGCAAAAAGCGCCGATCTTCGTTGCTTCATCAAAGCTGCAAGCGTGATTTTATGACAGTCACGAGTAAGTTTGTTCCGATTTATATTATTACTAGAACCTTATTAATTTCGTAAAATATCAATTGCCGTTTTCTTTTTCTTACGCTATTTTTACTTCGCGTACGGTAAATTATCGCAGCGTCTGAATCAGCGGGGGGCGGAAGCGCGAATAAAAAGATAGAGAGATGTTAAACGTTAGACTATTGCAGTTTCAGAAAATTTCCCGGGTCTTGCAATCCTGTGGATCCGCGATACCCGCGAGATACGAGATTTCGTTTCGATATTGACGTCTGGTTACGAAATAGCTAGCCAGACACTTTCACCAGAGGCCCAATAATGGCTAAGAAGTATCGTACACGAGCGGGTACGAGCTCTCACGAAGAACCACGAAGACGGTACCCCCGTGGGCCCCGCGGGACAGACATCCGCTTGTCTGGGCCCCGTCGGGGCCCAAGGAGACCTCGAGGCTCTTAGGCACGGTAAATTTACATTTGTCTCTTCCCTCGTCGACAAATTGCCGCGACAACGTCGACATCATTCTCTCTAAAAGTCAATCAGTGAATTATCACTGAAAAGAGTAAATAGCCACTGATTTACAGTTGTACCCTTGGGAAAATTTACTTGAAGTGATATTAAAGTTTTTAAAAGTAATCTTTCAAATCTCAGAGAGTTTACTTAAACAAGTTGAAAGTTTACTTAAGAAATTTTTAAGTAATTTTGGACACTTGAAGTAATTTTTAGACACCCAAGCCTGTCGAAGTTCTCGCTAGAGGGCCGCGCGGCTCAGCACTTTCTCGTAAAAGAAAAACCGCATTATAAATTATATCACGCACTTTTCACCATTCTTAAAATTTTCTTGTACATTCGTAAAGCAAGTTTTAAGTTTACCCTAAATAAAAATCTAAAGCGTCCAGATTTACTTTCCATATTTCTTATTTTTCTATAAGTGGTTGGCTTCCGTCGCGTAAAAATCGTTAACTCAGAAAAGACAATCTCACGGAATCGAGCGAAAAAGCTCGCACGCCTACTCCGTGACCTCGTGTCACCTTACTGTCATTTATTTTCTAACTTGTCGGTGGATAATAATTCCTCGCGTTCGAAAAGTGTCGTCGCTAGGCGTTTTAATGCCGCTTTTTATCCGCGGCACCGCTCGTCGCTGACCGAGCGTATACGAATAAAGTAGGCAGAACACATTTACATACGCCGCTTTGGGCAGTGACTCACGATGCGTCCATGTAAGGCCCAGAGCGAGAGGTGCCGTTGGCCCCACACGCCCACGTTAAAACGTTGCCCGGCCCGTACGCCGGAGACAAAGGGAGGGGAACGAAAAAAAAACGAAGGAAATAAAAGATAACCCGTTCTCTGTAAAAGGTTCCTCTGCGCGATATCGGCTCACGATTCGCCAAGATACCGGGACCGCGCGCGTCCGTGAGGCCCGAATCCTGGCGCAGGATCTCGCGTATCGGCGCGATCGGGCGCGCAGGCCGCTGGGACACGCCTCTATCTGGGATACCTCGATGAATCTTCTTCAGCCTATAAATCAATTAGCGCACGAGGGACTTGTTATACCTTCCCGCAGTTATTCCGGCCCGCAAGCTCATTCCGGTTGTCAGATAAGCGCGCCACGTGCACACACGCAAGCGCCGAGCGCATACGCGCGATCGTACCATTGCGATCGGTTTGCGGCCGCGGCTGCCACTTTCTCATCCGTGTGTCTTTTGTTTCTCGATGACAGTGGCGTACGGGGCCCGACGCTGGACCACGGAAATCCGACTGTCGCGGAAAGATCGGATTCGCACGAGCGATGGAAGCTCGCGGGGATCGGAGAGGGGACGATACAAGAAATTTAAAAAATTGCCAATCTTATAAGCGAGCGCCATGTGCTAGCCTGTAACAAAGTCAAGAATTGCCGTTGGATCCAAGCCTATCTAAAATTCTTTAGTGTTTCTTCTCCAAGGGTCTAGCCAGACAAACTTGCACAGGTGCATAAGCATACGCGTAAGGAAACTGACTGGACCATTTCCTTGTGCACGCACTTATGGCTCAATCACATTCCGCAAGTTCGTCTGGACAGACTCTAATACTGAACAAGAAAAATTTCAATACAAGAATACTATCGCGACAATTCTCACGCGTTATATTTCTAGTACTTATTCAAGGTCCCACCTTCGCTCACATCCGGCGGGTTCGTCAGCCTAGGGTGGACCTCTCGTAACCCGCGCGCCGGGCAGTCCTGCCGATTTCATTAAAACCGCGTAAAATCGTCTCTCACGACGTTTGATCCACTTCTACGCCACTGGCCGATGCTGGCAGTCCGGGTCTCTGTGCTGGCGGTTCAAACTCTCCCGCCACTCTCTCGTTCCGTCAGTGTCTCTCGCGTGTTCGCACGGGGAACATCGCTCGGCGCGTCTTCGCCAAGGTCCATTCCGGCGAGAGGTCCTCGGGCTTTCCCATTATCGGACGAGGATATTCCGCGGCGCGAGGCCCCGCATCCCGCGGACGGTGAGAGGAGAGATCCGCGGCTCCTTAAACGCCCGGGCCGAGCCGCGTCCGGCTAAATGAGAGCCAACCGCGGGTAATACGAAAATACTCGGGCCTCCTCTTCTCTCCCGTCCTCACCTCCTCCGCGTCCCTCCTCTCTTCGCCTCACCTTTGTTTACCTGTCCGGCGCACGAATCCGCGCATACGTTTCGTAATTACCCGGAAAACCATGGACACGGCCGACCGTTTCTGGAGCCTGGCCCTGTGCTGGATATGCATCGTCGGGCTCGCAGACGCCAACGGTGAGCGATACGTTTAAGTCACCTTCAATCTCGTCGCGTGCTATTTTTCGCAACGAGCAGGGTCTTGAGAGATCCCGATAGAAAAAGAAATCAATTCACAACACGGTTGCACAATGGGAATATATCGCGGATCTCGTTCGTGTCACGTGCGATATAGTTTAATAAAAATTGTACGTACGGACGTTTCGCTTCAAGTTCGAGCCGTTCTCAACAATCTTCTGCAATTCTTTCACATTCTGTTCCGTTAACCGAAAGTAAGCGCTTCGGGATTGATTCGATAGAACAATAAGCCCGAGTATAATCATTTTGAATGCGCGTGAGACCGAAGGTTAAATGTGGAATTAGAAAACTGATGAGCATGTGTTAGAAAAGATTGTTAAGTGCGATTTATGTATCCGTTACGCCGAGAACTGATATATTTTCTTTGTTCCCAGATAGCACACATAGTTCTATGAACATTCTTCTGGAGCGTGAATATTCTTCATTTCAGATTATTCCAATCGAATATTCTATAAATATATATAGATTATTACAATTAGAAATCGTATATTCATAACAGAGAAGTACGTTTTTAGAATATTCATCAAGTTTATGTATTGCACATTGTTTGTTGTGTAATACATTTATCTTATGCAAAAGGCAGTGAAACCTGTGATTATACCATGTCTAACCGACACGCTATATTCGATAGATTATTCTATTCACATTCGAAAAGGATTTATAGTAGTGCCAGTCTAATGTGCTACGAACATAAGATAAATATATAAGCATGATCTATGGAATATTCCAAATATTCTTGAAGAATAAATAAATTAGTATGGCTCGTATGTGTTAAACACAAATTTCAAAGAATTTTAAAGGACTCAGAGCCGTGACAGTTTATTGCGAAAAAATATCTATTAAATAAAAAAACTTAGAATAGAATATTTAGACACTACCATTCTGTCACGGCTCTGACTGAGTCCTTTAAAATTCTTTGATTCTTGAAGAATATTCTTAAAATGTTCATACACTGAAAGAAAAGTCTTTGAAAATTTATTTGTGGCATATAATGTTTGTTTCGCTAAAATAAACATTATTTGAGGCATATAATGTTTATTTCAATGAAATAAACGTTACATGCCACAAATAAATTTTCAGAGACTGTTTTCTCAGTGTAGGAGTGTCTTGTGCTATCTGGGTTTAACTAGGTTCGCGGGGTTGCGTAGAATAAGAGAAGAAACTTTGCTTCGGACACAATGTTTTTAAAAACCCCGACTGGAGGGTTAAGTCCAATCGCGGCGGAACGTGGTCCTCACTGTGATCTTATTGAATATATGCACGTATACGGAATTTTCTCTTAAACTTTATCCTGAAAATCGTAAGGCAACATGGCATTTCGAAGAATTTTATGAATTTTGTAATTTTACCACACATTTTACTAGTAAATGGGTTATTTAACTAGTAAAATGTATGGTAAACTAGTAAAAAAAACCCATTTACTATTAAAATGTATGGTAAAATTTCAAAAACTCATAAAATTCTTCGAAATGCCATGTTGCCTCACGATTTTCAGAATAAATTGAAATTTTACCACACATTTTACTAATAAATTATGGGACAATCGAAATGCCGCGTGGTCCCACAATCACATGATTTTCAGGGCACATTTTAAGAGAAAATTCTCTCCGTGCAGGAGAAAGTACACGTTGTACGCGTTGAAGAAAATCCCGAATGTCTAGCCAAGCGTAGGCGGTACCGCGGTATTCACATTCGACCATGACGTCCCGCGGTAATCAGCGGTCAGAAAGGAAACATGACAGCGTCGCGAATGAAAGTGACGTTCCTTTGTTCCCAGGCCGATTACGCCGATCGGCGGTCAACGGCGGCATAACAAATAAGCGGCGTGACGCGCGTCGCGCAGAATGCATCGTAAAAGTTTCGAAGCACCTGACGCGCGCGCGCGCGCGCGTCTCAAGTAGGATGTCGTCCTAGATCGCGATGCCTACCAGGTATCGCGAGAGGGATCATAGCCGGTCCCAGTCAAGGTTGCGACGTTCCCTCATGCGTCGCGCGACGCGCTCGTTATGACTGACTTTAGGCTCGTTACTGTTGACGTCGGTAGACGTTTTCTTTCCTACTCGCTTCACGGTCCGGCTATTTATGAAAATGGCAGTGTCCGACCGGGTTAGAACAAACCGGCGACGAGCGCGCACGGACGACGTCGGGACAATTCCAGGCTTCTTCCTCCCGACGCGAGTCTCACGCGCCGCGAAAATCGCCAGGCACACCCCACCCGGCGAGTTGACCCCGCGTTACGTTTTCGGATCACGTTTTAGCGGTCGCGAATTCTCCTCGCGTACGTCACGCGATATTTCTACGAGTCATGTACGGAGTGTATTCTTCAGCGAGGAGCTCTTTCTCTCTCTCTTTCTCTCGGAAGTGAAATTCGCCTGCGAGCTGTACAAACAATGCGCACGCTCTCGCATAGCATCATCCAAGACGCAACGTGCAATTAAAAGGTAACCGCAATCAGGCAACGAAACTTATAATCGCGCGACACTTGCAATTAGGGCAAGGCGGGGGATAAGAGGCTAATTATCCGTTAAGGGTCGCGCGGCTCGAGGACAAACGAGAAGGGACGGAGCGACGGTGCAGCGAGATCAACTGACCCGCTCAAATTGAATCGGAATTGAAGTTAATCGTGCTGCGTTCTTTTTGTCTCTTTATCGTTGCATCATCGCGTCGGTGGAAGTGACTGATTTGCGAGTTCAATCGCGCCTTGGGAATCGAGGCTGCTCCAATTGCCTCCCTTTGTGTTGACGTGCAATTAATTAACCCTAATAGCAGCTGCATACGTCGAATGAATTGTATGGTTTCGCAAATGCGAAATTAGTACGATTGCGCGCCGGGATTGTGTGAGAAAGGAACGTGTGTGTGTGGAAAATAATTACTCTCCGCGCGCGGAAATTCGTGCACACGCGACGCGCTTCGTCGTGTGTGAGTAATCAGACGCTGATGAATCACGCCATGACTCCATCGTGATCCCCTGCACGTTGCCGCGTCTATATTTGTATCGGAAAATTGCGCGAGGCATTACGTAAATTAGAGCGTTTCGCTAAAAAGGCGTCTGGGATAAAAACATCGCGTAAGAAACTCCCGCAAACGATTATCCCGCGCTACGTTTCTTCTTTTCTAACATTTAAGGGCCAGTTTCGCAAACTGACCGAGGGTTCGTTGATTCGCTGTCTCTTCTTAAGGGGATGCTGGAGTGATTCTGCACTTTCGTACCTTTTGCACTTAAAACTGTCTA